AAGATGAGAAGTTTTGTCGTAGTGCTCCATATGTAGGAAATTGTGGAGACGGATAGTGAACAATAATAGACTATGCCATAGGTGTGTGCGTCTTATCATAAAGCCGACAAACATGTTCAGTCATTCAATTTCAATAAGTGTTTTTAAGCGTTACGTATGCGATTTGGCCTGGAAAAAAAATTATGGAATCAGGGGAGCCAGTTTCAAAGGATTCGAATACGCACTCGTATACGAAACAGGTTTTCGAGACGGAACTGTTAAAACGATAAGAGGCAAAATTAAGCTTCACGCAGTGAAGATTAGCCCACACAGATCCAATTTGCAACATGCAAGTTTGCTTTACGTAGTTGACGACTAGGTGTCAATGTTCAGATGCATCTGTTTGTCTGATAAACTTCGCCAACCGTGCTGTTTATATGATTGTCTCTATAACTAATACACGAATGCTTATTCTATTATCATACAAAAGAGCATAGCACTTCGCCTCATAAGCAGCTCATACTTTTTTCTACGGAGTGGATGAGTTTCCTGTCGACGAAATTTTTTCTGATGTATGTGAAATAAACCATTTAGGTTTCTATGGCAGTTAAAGTCTGATTGCAGAGTCCCAAATAGCTTTATTTTTGTGGACTCTTTGGTATCAATGTATCCCTACTCCGATATCCATAGTACCATCAGATTCGTACTTAAGGCAGAAATGCCTAATACAACAGACCGCCCTTAAAAACGTAGTGAATAGTCAGCAATGTTGACATTTACAAATGAAACAGTTGGCTCTAGAACTAATGGTATAAATCAACTGTTGGCTTCATTGCGTTTACAGTATCATGCAACCAATGCTTATTAATTGCTATATAATAATAATAATGATGCTAATTAATAAACCTACAATCAATTTAACAAATAACTATATCTGTCGCTGAGGGATAACTTGCTTAACTGATGTCCCACTGCTTGCCAGCTATATCAAACGCAAGTTGCTGGCTTATCACACGATTATTACAGGCCCCCAAGTAGGTCTGTGCAGTTTGTTCACGCCTGACGGCAGATGGTAACAGGTTGCGTATAGGAACCAGTTATATCGTGCACTATTTACCAGAATACTGTGTATAATATATATATATATAATAATGATTGATGGCTGGATTACTGGATTGCCGGACGCTTTAGCTACGCTAACGGAAAGACAGACACCGAGAGTTCAGACAATTTTAGCGATGCCAGCTTAAGCTATTGGCCTCGATTACGGGAAAATTCAAATGAATACGAAAGAATACCAGTGAAACATTTTTACACTTTTAGTTAATACGTCAATATAAAGAAAAAATACTAATTAAATTGTATTGTTTGCATGGGTTCACCTACTTTGTTTGTGGGCGTTTGGGTCTTTGAGTGCACGTTTTGCGCGCTCTGCTTCGAACCCTGGCATAAGTGTAAAACAAATTTGGGAATTTTTCTTCATTGAACAGCTTCTCTATACATTCTATGTTCGCCTTGTCTCCTCTCATCAGACGGATCCTCTCTTTGTCTGTTAGAGGATTTTTTAGTGATTCCGATCTCAAGGGGTCATTGCGCTACTACTCAACTGATCAACGCTGCCCACTTCTCTATGCTTGTATGCACCCGGGTATGATTCAGCGTGACGCTGTTGATCAATGGTCCATTTCAGAATCTGCGCTTGATTAGATATGTTCATATCGTTATATTCACTAGTATCCGAGAGTTGTAATCCATGTCCGATTCACTTGACAGAAAATGTCCATCGAACATGTAGATACTACCGGTTAAAACTCTGCCCGTACACAAACAAGCGTTTATTCAATTGTCCTTTGACTTTGCCCTACATAGGGCACAGTTCCATTCGCAACATGTGTCTATCTACTAACAAGCAGCAGCATAACAAGAATCGGTCTCTCTAGGAGTTAACAGGCCAACGGTGGGTGAACAACTTCGATGATTTTAAGTATCCTACTTCTATGAGAACGTAATGCATTCGTTTACGCTATCTATAACTACACAGTGGGCTTAGATACAGGCGCGATATTTCTTTTGGTACAAGTAATACTTTCTGATGTCTTAATGTTATACTTAATCGGGTGAAAAAACAAACCTAAGCCATTGCCAGGCTAATAGACTGAGAAGTACGTGTTACACAATTCAGAAAGTTTGACATCTGTTTTGTACGAAAAGCCGCAGAAGGTACGGGTGTTCAACAAAAATCCGAAGGATGACTAAGTAAGGAAAGTTGTATTATGATTATTATTAAGTGAGACGATATATAATATGTAGAGCAACTGGTAATCCCGTAGAGCTAGCATATAGACCGCCATGGTCACTCACGTATATGCACGGGTAAGGCGGTCGAGACAATGTTTTTCCTTCAAAAAACCTACTTGTTTCTTCTAGACGTTCATTTTTAATCGTAACGTATAATTCGGAAAATTTGCAGTAGCTTCTAAATAGACCGAGTTTAAAATGTGCTACGATTGCGTTGGTGAGGATACGTACCCCCGGATGCGTATCTCTTCACGTATGCGCAACAAAACAAGTGGTTTTAGCTCAAAGTGGTCGCTGATCATTTATTGGATTAAAAAACGCGAAACGCTCTTAAAAATGTTTGTATATTGAAATGATATTACACAAAGCACTACATGTTTGTGGAATATGTCATCGGTGGGACTCAAAACAACAAACTCTGGCTTTTTCAACCTAGGGTTTAGACGACTCATGCTTTACTAGTCGACCTAACAGGTAATTTATCGGTGGATAAAACGAATGCATTTTCTCTTCACTGCCCTTTTTCAGGTTTGAAACGTGAAGTGTAAGTTCATCCCTAAAATTTCTTTTTACGTTTCACAAAAATGGAACGAATAAAAAAATGACAGCTCGATTTATATTTAATAATAATTTAATAATTAAAACGCGTTTTCTGTACAATTAGAAACTAGTGATCAGAGAATCCGATTTATAATTTTACTTGCATGATGCACAAGATCGGTTTCATAGTCTCATTCAATTTATATGACCAAAAAATTATAGAATAAAGCTTATCATTTCATCTCTCGCAGCGCAGTGAACAGGACGCAAACTAATGAAGCGATGTGACCTGTTCCTTCCAGGACAATAAACTGCCTGGTGCGATAGCGGAATGAGTACTTATTGACGCTTGAAAAAAATTATTTTCAGCCTAATGTTTCTATGGGTCTTTTCATATTACTTGACTTCTGACGCTGGTTGACTATTGTTACATGCTGTAGTTACTATGCATAGACTATCTTCGTGAAGTATACAACCAAGCGCAAATATTGTGAGGCGTCAGTATTAGAAAATATATCTAGCAATAGTGTCGTTAAAAACCTGTATATATATATATATATATATATATATATATATATATATATATATATCTGGCAAGCCCGAACTAGCTGCTGCCTAGATAGGTTTCTGTTTTTAAGCTTACTATGCTACCATTAAGTATTCTCATCATTATAACTATTCTTACATATCTTACGGTTTATTAGGTTTAGTTCATATAACAACAGACACGTCTAGTGCACAAGGCCTTTGGAGGCATAGTACAGGGCCTTTCGATACCCGTGCGCAAGGGCATTACGGCGCTGCTTTAGAGAACATGATCTCATCTCAAAGACCGAAGCCACAACGAGCCTCTCACAATCAATCAAATTGACGCGAATGCCTTCAAGGCTACACCGCCACATTTTACCATCAGTAGTACTCTGGTAGTCACCGACTGTATCTATTATTCTGTAACTATGCCGTGAAAGTTTTCCACTTTTATTCTATTGAGTTTAGAAGATATCGATGCATAGCAGGACACGGAACTGATTGTATGAAGGTATCGCGCCAAAAATATTTGGTTTTGAATTCCATTTTTTTTCGTCACATAGACATAGACAGGCATATTTAGCAAATTCAGGTGAGAAGAATCGAATAGAACAAGAAGAAAAGCAAACTATCCATAGGAAGTTCTTGGCCCATAAGCTTTGGTCTTTTCTCAAAAGGAAAGCCGTGACACAAGCCATTGTAGCGTCTGGTTACGTACCTAATAGCTGAGGTACGTGGCCGTTATACATGTTCCCTGTCTCCGTCGCGAGGTCCTTCCGGCCCACACCCATCGGCCCTGCGATATATCAAAGGACGTAATGATTCCAAAGGCCTGAAGCACTGTTTCTGACAAGCCCCAACCTAACGACTCGCCACCACGATGCCAAGCTGTTTACCCGTTCGTACCCACTGATATACCGTCCGCCGATATGTAAAAGTGCTGCGGAAAAAAATTTGTTATTGACAGGAAAGCCAAAATGGTTTTTAGTCGTTCCGTACCGGGAGACACGATTCCCCATTAATTGACATTCCTCGTTCGTACAAGTCTCTCCGACGTCAATAGCCCAACATCGTCCTAAGAGGTCATCATCAGACACAGAAAAGGGCATGCATTTTGTCTTGAGGCAAGGGTCTCTTCTGATGAAGAAACTAGCGATCGTGTAGCGACACGAAGAGCGAGCTGATCTTGATACGACGGCATTACGAGGAGTGGAATGACAACAAACCTGAGGATCACCTCATATATTCCATTGCAAAGCAATGCGCTACTAAAAATGAAGGAAAAATCGAAACAGAAGGAAGTAAAGGATAGCAAAGGACAAAGGAAATGCCGCCGTTCTCGCTATCCATGCCGCTTTCAATATTGTCATCGCAATGGGAATTCTTGCTCTTCTAGTGCCTCAAGCAAAGTGAGTCGTCTCAAGCAAAGGAAAATAGCCTTAGGAAGAGATCGTAGTACCATTCTAATTGGATCCAGTGACAGAAAAAATCAACCTTCGGTGACAATAAGTTTGCCAATCTGAACCATGCTGTACTACGCACGGTGGACATGTTAAATAGGTATTCATAGAGCGAAATGGAAACCGTTATTGTCCTTCTGCCCCTGTTCCCTTGCCCTCCCTTTTATTGGTAGGAGATTTCAAGATCGGTAGACGGGACAGAGTAAGGGTTAAGTTCATTCTATTCGTATGTTCCTTGAACACGATGAATTACAGGTTTCAATGGATTACAGGTTACAATAGAAAGTAAGTTCAGAGCTTTTGCAGGGCGTTCAGTTGAATACATTGATTTCAAATGGAGCTGTTATGAAGTACATCATTTTATTTAAAGCTGGTTATAGGCCTCATTGCCTATACCACCTTTGGTTTATTCGAAATTATAATGTATGTGTCATTGCGCGTATAAACCGGCCCAGAACAGAACCATGAGACACAAAAATATGCTCATTGTTAAAAGGTGCGAGCAATACAAACTTAACTTATATATAAATTCATATCTACGATAGATGTTAACTACAACAAAGCAATATATGAGAAAGAATAGTACTTTGATTTTGACGAAAAAAGGTTCTGAAAGTTCCGAAATTCTATGTCGGAGATCCAGTTTACACACCGATGACAAGCATCTTTTACCGCATTTAAGCTTTCACTTACAATAAAACACGTAAAAACTGAAAATATCTATCCTTCTTAGATGCTAGAGACTATTCTATAATCCTTCACATATGTGTATCTATCTCGTTTATTCATTAGAATAGAAAGGATATTTGCAAGGCCGATTAAACTAAATCAAAAGACAGTGGGATAATTTCTGAAAAAGACATGGGGATAGATAATTCTAGTTAGTCAGAAATCGATTTCAATTCTCAATACTTCTAAACTAAGGGTCACAACTATAATCACCTTTGCATTGCCGATTTTTACCATCTGCTTCACGAGGAATTTTCGAATAGATAACTGTCGGAAACTTTGCTGCCCAAGGAAATACTTTAAGCGACTTGAACTTTCTGTAAAAGTTGAGCGCCCTGTGAAGTAGAGCTGTCATCGTATTGTCATAATATCTATTCCTATTTACCTGATAAAAGTAACGACTTAATTTCACATGCGACACATAAAACATTTATTATAAAAAGGCGTTATTTATAAGTTGCTGGGTACTTTTTAGAACTATTGTTTGCCAGTGGAGCTCAGTCAGTCCAAATAAGCCTGATTTCTTGGCTTGTTCAGAAGGCACACTTGACTAATTCGGTATTAACTGATATTACTGGAGACACATGGGATGCAGAAGTAAAGCTACAGATGTAAGTTAACAGTTAGGAAAAGTAGATTTATAATTAATAAAAACGCGTATTATAAACTGAGCCAACATGCGCTCTGACACGAAACCTACTTTTTCTAAAGCGAAAACCTATATATTAGCTGGCTGTAAATGTACGTTTGCACCTTTTTTTTGTATATTCGAAACATTTACATCTCGAGTTTTACGTCCGGTATTGCCGTTAGGCAACAAATCACATGGCTGGCTCCCAGCACGAAACGAATCGTCTGTTTATGCGCGGGTTCTGACCTACCCCACAACGTGTCGCTCAAGTACGTTACCCACTAAGCTATCACAGGGACCAAATATGAGAAAGCTAGACTGGCTCAATAGCATGAACGGCATCTACAAATAGGTCCTATCCGTGAGCTTGGTTTGAGTCGTCAACCTCAAAAGTTCAGCCTTATAGCTGGTTGTAATACGAATTGATTATTCCTAACAGGCGAAATGACAATGTTCTATATGAACGAAGCTGTCTAACAGTCGATATTTTCAAGCGTTGATATCTAATATAATGCCTAACGGTCTAGTTGTCAACGTATAAGTTTAACCAGTCCTTGTACGCTGAGCATCTCTGCAAATTGTTGCTGAAAAAAGCACAGCTAACAGATGCCTAGGGTAATGTTAGCACCTAGCCATAGCTATCACGTATCCATAAAGTATTATACCGTCTTAAGGCTCCTTTATATTTCACATATAAGTCATTTTGACCGGCTCAATAATTGCCTTCAGGCATTTTTTCATCGACATAGAATGGTCCAGTAAACGGCGTTAAAAATTGCAAATCCAAGTGGAAACACAAGACGACATCGACGATCTATGCAATTGGCAATGTCCCGATTTGTAAGCGGCATCCGCACGATAGATTGTACCCTACAAGTGGAAATTGGCAGACAAAAACAGCACAGCAGCGAAAGAAATTAATTTTTCTGCTTATCCTATTTAGGCCCAGTGGCCTAAAGCTCGTACCTATTCCCGTGTGTCAAACTGCACTAACTTTATGCAAAACATGGTACAGACATACATCGACTTCGATTCGCGGGCAGCGTAACCGCAAAACATACAAACATACATTGCACTTCAATCGCAACGTACATGATAATTATAGAGGCATATCAGCTCGTATGAATGACATTTGAATTTTATAATTTTTCATCTTATCTCACATGCATATGTGTGACTTTTTTTTGATGCTCAGATCATTCAGTGCATGTTTAAATAGAACAGAGCAGGGTGTACGTTTAGATTTGTATTTGTGCACGCCCATGCGTGCACGCTCATTTAGGCCCTCATATCACTCGCTGCTATTTGAGCGGGCAACATCCACGTAGGGACGCTATGCTTGTATATGAGCAAACTATTAAGCAAGCCAAATATTTACCTTTCTCGAGAATACTGTACTGAAAGCGAAGGGCTGGGTGGCACCTGAATTGGATCAAGATCCGGCGGGAATTGAAAAATACTTCCTGAACTTGCCCCGCGGGCCGGTGAATGTGGCGGACGCAAAGCCCCGTTGCTGGAAGCCGAACCTCCTACTTGAGTCGTGTTCAGGGGTTCCAAACCCATCTGTTTAGCTCTCTTTTTGGAAATCGGCTCACCTAATGGTTTGCCATTCTTTAAACATAAATTGAACGCAGAAATTAAAATAATGATGCATTCGGCTGTAACAAAAGGTCAACATCAGATCTCTACCAATACTCAAAAGCGTAAAAAATCGGTATATTGCAGTTCGATATCACAACAAAGATCAGATAATAATAATAATAAGCGCGGATGCGCACTAGGCAACAAGCGAAAGAGTCGGAAAGTAATACACCCGTCGATAGAAAGATCGTTTTGGCCATATTCACAAATCTACTGAAAAGCAATGCAGTATTTTGTCCTATTAGAATACTAGCATAATTTCGAACACTCTAATCCTATATTTATGTCAAATTATGTTATTAATTTGTTAAAATTGCAATTAAATCTAACTAAATAACGCGTGATAGAATATTATTTATCATAGACCGGATTTCAGTGACGAAGAAGCTTTCACTTACGAAATAGGCCTGATTCTTAATACAACACTTTGGTTACGGTTTTTTCTTTGAAGTATTCCTTTTATACAGCGCCAAAGTATGCTAGTCCATTTGGTTCAGCAGGACCATTTTTTTACGCGCTGATTGTTGCGCAGTTGACTGACAACCTCACGCTGATAATTAACATCATATCAGGCGCTCAAAATCACTGAAGGACCGTAAGTAAGCTTACGGAATCAGACTACAGTGGGTCTACAGCTAGAAAGAAACACTCGAGTTTAAAACTAACAAGAACATAAATCTATAGAGCAGTATCTATTTCAACGGTCCTTTAACGTAATTGGTAGCCTATAATTTTTCAACTCTTCACTTACGTCCCATTTGGCTGTTCACCCATTTGATCATCCTGCATTCAACAGGTGATCATGTTTCGCTTCACCTTAATTGACCGCTTTCAGTTTGAACGCCAGCCATATCTACTAAACATTCGGACACGTTACGTTGTAAAAGAGACCACGTCGGCAAACAACGGGACGAACAACAAAAGCGTAAATAATAGAAAAAAAAAACAACCGTAATTCTGATGGACGCATTCTTAGCCATGCTTTTTATGGGTAGCATAAAGTTGCTTAGCGAAGCTAACGTTAAGCTTTTGAAAGGCCGCAAACATTCGGGATGCGAACCACATAACAGTACCAATATGCTATACAAACAGGACATTGACAATGAAAGGAAACATTTCTGGTTAAGCTGATGTGGTACGAGATTATTAATTCCTTTCATTTCTAGGACGACTCTCAGCGAAGAATACCTCAGGACTTTTCAAGGGTTCTGAGGTCCCTGTAAATACTACAGAAGCTGGTTTTAGAAAATGTCTTTGTTTAGGGGGAAATACTGAAATCATTAAGTCAAACTGTCTGGCAAAAGTCTTTTTATATCCTGGTAAATAGAAATAATCAGCTTACGATGCTTGTATCGTAATAAATGTTCTAAGATATTTAGGTACGAGTCGGCCTATATGGAGTCGTAAAAACCTGTTTAATTTGTAATAAATGGATGTAGAATTATGATTTTTTTTTTTTGGAAAATAGCTTCTATTAGGTATTAGTATAAATAATAACTTATTTTCGTTGGAGTTTGACTTTACGTTTGGAAGACAGTTATTATCGGCGGACAGAATGAATCAGGTTGGTTTCTCGAGTCAAAAGCAATACATGAAAATGTTTAGGTAAATATTATATTTTTCCTATTTCATCTTTACGTGTTTCGTTACTAGCTCTTCTTCAAATAAATCGTATTGCCTAAGTAAGTTGCGTAACTTTACACGTCACATCATCAATTACTACTGCTATTAATGTTCAAGGAGGAACGACTCGATCCAAGCGGAAATCTGAGGATTTTTCAAAATAAAAAAATTAAGCGAAGATTATTCTGTTCACTAGATGCTCACTAGTATATAAGTTTATTTTTTTATAGGTTTTATAAGTTTATTTTCCTATGGAACATGGAGTTTGACTATAGGTTAACCACTTTTATAGACGATTGTCGGAATAACTATAAATGTCCCATTGACTAACTTTAGAAATTGAGCTCGAGCTAAATAACTTGTGTTGCTTTGCCTGTGGTAGTAAGACTCATAGGAACGGTATGTAAAGCATCGTCTCACATAAACAGTTTTAGGATTATCCGTGTACCTTCATTCTGTAATTACTGTGAAGGCCCACTGCTACATCGAGTGTTTACTAATACAGAGCTTACAGAACGCAAGTTAGAACGTTTTAACACTCATTAAAAAATATTTTAATACAAAGTTCCGCAAACTTTTTCAAGTAGTGGCAATACGCGAACAGATAATGAATACTACTGAGTATATGAACAGATTACGATAACGATTAAAAAATATACTAATAAACGACCCCTAAAACCAACGAATAAGGCCCCGTCGTTTTGCTGGCGTATTATATACCATACAATATTCACGTTAAATACAATTAATTAACCCTATGCACACCATCGAAATGGCAACCTCTCGTGAAGTAGCCTTGGACAACATTATTTTTGATTACCAGTAGGAAAAACTTTGGAATTATCTATCTACTATAAAGCAACCCTTATACAGTGAGAAGTAGTAGAAATACCCATATCGGGATTGCGATGATGATAATGATTACTGTTGTTATTGTGACTGTATAATATGGTTCGGTGATCCGGATGACCCACCTCTGAAGAGTTATGGTAGACGGATGAAGCGAGTGAAACACAAGAATCAACACGTCGTAAGCCTCCCTGCCGGACCCGTTTGTCTCGATTATAGATGTAGTTGACAATCGCGTATTCAAACAGCACGAAGAAAATGAAGGCTGACATCAACCATGATGAAGGCGATGTAAAATATCATACGCGCATGAAGGGTGTCAGCATTACAATTTTACAGAATGTCTACAACTGTCTACTCTTACCATATTCAGTAATCTGTCTGGAACGTCCTCTTTTTTCCTTGTTTTAATATATACATATTACACAATAAAGCCTCATGTAGGTTATATAGCTTTTTGCAATATCGAACCAAAGTTGTGTGCTACAAATCGCTTCACGCCGTACGCAATCGATGCTTCGTTCGATCATCTTCTTTGTCAGTTTCTTAAAAATTTGCTTTTATATCTTGTCACGAGACGACTCAGCTGCTTCTGACGCTACAGTTATATTGCAATAACGATAAGATATCCATGATTGTTAAGTGCATTTTAGGACAGTGACGTATTGGAATCCCTTTTAAAAATAGTTCTCGGAGCTTGATTACCTGTGCAAGCGAGTAGCCATATGTCCAGCGCGTGCACATATGGTACCTTCGGAAGTTTTTCCCTTATGGTCTTGCCTGAGGTTACCATTGTGAGCATAGTGGTGATCGACAATGAAATTCGCGCAGGCGCAGCTGTTACCTAAAGTAGAATATGGTATAAGAAGGGATCATTATGTGTTTTCTAAATAATACTTCTAGCAGGAATTTCGAATTCTGCTTATTGCATATGCGATACAAATATATGGAAATAACATTCGACAATTGTGTTCAGCACGGTTTAATAAACGGATATTGAATCTAAGGGCAACTAGTGTTGAAACTTTGTGGAAGCCGGTGCTGTTCTTAGTACTAGCGACCAACGTAAACGTTTAAGTGTACATCAGTATATGAAATTACGCTTAGAATCAACCAAGGCAGACACATGGTCGGGCTTAATAATTCAGTTCTTCATTTACGACCTTATTACGTGGACTGGGATTGAAGTAACACAGTTAAATTATACTCGGGATATTCAATCTATACCATCACTAAATTAGACTATAATTGAGTGTCTCCAAATACAGAGTAGCAGTTTCTCCAACTAGTCATATTCGAAAGATTCTCTGCATATCTTTTCGGACCTCGTTTCGGGTTGTTCCAACCGAAAACTATGCATAACGTAAGTTAAAGAAAATATAGGATGCTCTGGTCTTATTTTTCCGGGCGCCATAAGCAATGAGAATATAAAGATATGTTAAAGCGTGGTTCAGTATCGTTCTATATTACAAATGTCTTTCCACGAGAAGGCGCGGCGATTACAAGAATCTTTAGTCTGTAGTCGATGTTATGAATATGTTGCAATAAAAATGCTGCATGGAACGACATGTTTTCGAACACGAAAGCATTCTACTTACATGAAGCTCTCATATTGGGACCAGGGCAGTAATAACCAATATGAGCTTGAACAGGCGACTTGAGAAGAGTTCTATGTTATAAACTGTCAAGTGGGTGGCTTGGACTGTTTGGTGGGGCAAGGATACATATGAACTGCTAGAGTTAGGCAACGCTGAGATGGACGACAATGCCCCATTATCCAGTTAGAAGGTAACAAAAAGTATTCAGACGTACTTATGATTTGAATTTATATAGAACATCATACCTATTGATCTATGCGCTTATGCCAATTAAGTAGTTAGTTTACGATGCGTTCTTCATAATGCTACTTCGCAAGAAAGGACTGGGATGAAACCACTCAATCATAAATGGATCGATACGATTATAGACAATGAAAACATACGACATACTTCCATCCAAAATGATAGCCACGACGTAAAGACGAATGCCACTCCTGGAATATAGATATCCAGTAGAAATGGGCCGAACTGTCGAGACAGGACAAATTCCGAAGTCACCAAAGAGAAATTACCTACGAAAAGGACACGTACACACGCGCTGTATGAGCAACCTATCTATTACGTAAACGATTGTATCATATAAGCCTAAGATGCTGTTTGCCTCTAGCTAACTTTTCAAATAGCAACGTTTCTTTTCACCAACATTTTGCCCTGTTCGCGTTAAGAACGCATCGTACACAGAGGTTGGTACTCTTCGCCATAAAAAGCGAACTTACTAGAAATACACTGGTATAATTTTATACTAAAAAAACTTTACATCAATTTCGAAACCTTGCACGCTTTTTATCATGAAAGTAAAAAACCTAGCAGTCTACATTTCACACGAGTGGAACCAACGGTATGATATAATTTATCGTCCATTTCTACCCTCTACGTCTATCAAGCAAGTTAGTATATGATACGGTATGATTACCGTAATCAAAATGCAAAATTAAAAATACTTTCCGACGATATATGGCCCATGTGGTCACTGGGCATTAGTTTGCTTCCGAAATAGGACATAGCGTTGTAACTCGTGGATTTGTGCTACACTTTGAAAAAAAATAAAAATTTCCTTTACTATTAACAATTATAAATAATTAATTATTAGTAACTTTACTATTAATATTAGAAATCCAACTAGTTCAGGCTTTGTGAAAGAACTTACCCACAAGCCGATGGTTAATCGCTTCGTAAGTGGAATAATTCTGAATTGTGAATCCCCGTGCGTGACTAGGGTCGGCTAGTAAAAGACCTGGGCGCTTCGACCATTGCATGCGAAGGTGTGAAATGGGTAACGAACCTATAAATAACCAAAAGTTAAAAAAATCATCATCATTATATTAAAAACAATGTTGCCATTTCATTTTTTCTACAAGTACACCTTCCTTTGAGTTGACTAGGTTTAACTATTTATCTAATAATAAGGACAATTCACCTGTTGGTTTTCGCTGTTTCGGACCGTGTACATTTTAGCGACCGAAAGCGAATTTAGATTTTTTGATAAAAATATATCAAGAAAAACCTAATAAAATCCCATAGACAGTTTGATGCGCTAGAAGATTGATTAGTAGCCTATTTTTCTTGCTTTGACATTTATCCCTTTCGATATTACGTAATCGCGGATCAAAGCAAACTTCAGTAAGTAGCGCGAGTTAATTGTAACACGATAACGCCTGGTATTCATTACGAGCCGCCCAATAATAAATTACTATTCATCTACTTGGACCAGAAGTTGTCGGATCACGACAACTTCTGGTCCAAGACATCGGTAGACCCAACGAAATAAACTGTAAACCACCTTAGATAGAGGTCTAAAATTGGGGAACTGATAATAGCCTTGTATTGCATCAATTAGGTTGTCGCCTTAAGTACTTGAGCTTACCCCGCCATCGTCGCCGCCTAAATAGCTACTCATTGTCTACAGTTGCGGACCATAAATCGGCACACAGTATGTCTATATGGCCTTTAAATATGTATACCTTTGCATGCTATGAAACAAGCAATAAATAATTGAGTAATTTAAATAGCTCTGTTGATGATTAGGCAACGTTATAGCGGCACGTAAGGATGCATGGCGCTACACGGCCTCGTCTTTCGTGGACCTGTTTGTTGACGTAAAAAATCGCTGGTACGACGACAACGAGCTTAATACAGAGGTGTGAAGCGGGTTCTGACGGCTGAGAATTCGATGCAGCTCTCACACGCAAAAACACAACTGTAATATTAACTTAGATTTTATTTTATTATATTAAGTTTATATAGGAAGCGTATACATAGCATTTTTAGCTGTCTGTTATGATTCAAATGTTACCGCAGCTTAGAAATTGCGAACAACAAACTTCCAACCTTTTTTTTCTTTAGCACCACAGCTCATTTTGGCTCATTAGGTTCATATACAAATAAGTTCGTACCAAAGAACAAAAGCTCTTGATCTACTCTCAACTTATTTACTATACAGTAATCGGCCAACAATCGACCCTTTGTCCTAACCTCATCGATTTTTTTTTAATATTTGACATATTTTAACGCAAGGCAAATTGCTTCAATAGAGAAATGTAAAGGTACCTTTTAACCTCTATTACGATAGATCGCCTGACAGATTACAGAGCATCAGCTATCGAAATCATTTATACATCAATCGATAGTAAGTCTTGTCGACCTTGTGGAAACGGATGTTTACGTTCCTTGGTCGATATCGGTACTGCTTTTGGCATTGTAGACGTCAACCTGAGTGATGAAAAAGCTCTTCCCTTTTTCAATTTGAATTTTAGCACTCCCTTTAGTCATCTTGATTTGGCGGCTAAAGGTGGAGCAAAGTAACTGTTTCGGAACACCCCGAGTTTTTTCGCAGGATCGTCCAACTATAATGGCTTGGAGCCTAAACAATGCCGCTTACCATTAGGTGTTCTTAAGAATTATTTCGTAACAGAATGTACGCGAAACGTGTAATCGGCTTTCTTCATAGTAATATGTTTGTTTGCAAACGTCTAAATTTCGTGCGAATCGAGTGCACGGGAACGGTAGAAATGGTAATTGGGTAATGAACAAATGCTCGCTCTACCTACTGCTTTCAATCGTCATCCCGCATGTTTGCTTGTCAAGTGGGTACTTGTAGAGCTCCATTTCGCAACGGAGCTTCAGATGAGCTCGTTTCGAGAGCACTACCTCGCCTGCAAAAAGCAAGGCCAAACACGTACAATGAAAGACATGTTTACGCAGTATGTTTTGCCAAAGACGATACTTTACTTGGTAACAATAATGTTTGTTTGTGATCCGTATAAAAACAACGCAAGTTTTACCGTTCGACCTGATAAGCACGTGCACGCTGCCTGGCGAAAGGTCAATGATAGACGTGTACTGTTTATCGTTTGCCACGTGCAAATTCGGCAGCCAGATCTAAGAAATAAAAGCAACGGTATATTATAGCATAGGCTTAGTTTCTCTGGATATAAGCTACAGCTCTTTCTACGCAACTACCTTCAATATATGCATAACTACTATTCGTGTTATAAACAGCTGCGCCTCCTTTTGCTATCGCAATACTTGTGCTACAGAACATGTGCTAATTAGTGACTTTTCAGGAACGACAAATGCTCTCTCTAAAGCACACCATCTACGATTGGCTATCCATTACTCTAACCTGATTAGCATGCCAGTGATCTCCTTGAATGGGAAAGTTAAGCAGGAGTTGAGAATCGTACTCAAGACGATCGTCGCGCCACCGGAGCGTGAACTCGACGTCCGCTTCATACTCCTTTAACAAAGGGATAAATCTAATTCTCGATTATCTGTAATGTATTGCGTATGCGTTTGGGCGGACCTGACTGAATCAGGTCCTCCCAAACGCGTATGCCAATCAAAGGACACAAATCTTAAATACTTACTATAATTAACAAAGTTCATGAAAATCTTGGAATAGAATCCACTGTGGTATCAAATATGCCCACGCTGCAGACTTACAAATGTCATATACTAATATATGGTTGTGAATCTAACACATTTCAGAACGGATGGCTTCATCTTCGAGCTGAAGGTCTCTACATTATGTAAACAAATACTACATACATATAGATATGTATATATACATAATATAAATGTGTTGGTTACCGTGTGCACGTCGTCAATTCCGTCCATCCGGTGAATGACGACATTGAGACGCACGAGAAGTGGAATGCCTGAAATAATAGGATTTTTAAAATCACGATCACCTTCATATGGCTTAATCCAAGTACCGCATTTTTCCATAGGACACAATTCACACATCGTATTCCCTGTCACGACGATGTCATATTGTCAAATGTCCAAGATATAGAATAGCAAACCGAGTCCAGTCTCTACGGATACGATCCTAGTACTGCTCAACTACACCTGTTCCTTTTGGGTACAATTGAATATTATTTGTAATTATATCACATAACCAAACAAACGTATCTATTAATGAAAAGAAAACAGCGTGCTATAGCGAGATATTAGATATAAGCCACTTACTCCTCCTTAGAAAAAGACACTTACTCCTCTTCCGATGACATTTAGAATGGACTATACCAATCGTAAGTGCGGGCGTCGTGAAAAATGCCTACCTATGATGTACGATGGACGTGTTCGCTTGTTGTATACTGCCGCATCTGTTAGATTTATGAAAAGTTTATCTTGCAGCTCAAGTAGACCGTAACACCTATAGCAAGCAAGAGAAATTACTAATTAAATCTAATGCATTGTTTTTATTTGCATTCAAGGATGTAACAAATCTTATCAATTTCGAAAAATCGGCCACAAACACGAATCGCTTTCCCGAAGAGTACCATGAAAAAATACGTAGGCCATCCTGTAAAAAGTTCCGCCGTCTTCTTTCCGTTTTGCTACCGCTTTTACGCTCTTCGGTAGTCAACGTTCAGTCTTCAGTAGTGTACAGTCGGCTAAAATAGGCACGCAGATACATAATTTAAATCGATTAAGACGACATTGAAAGTAATAGCAATACGTACCTTTCGATAGCAATAAGCAGGACACTCAGTAGGATTTGTCTCATTCTGTTTGACCAGTGCTCTGATGGATTAGTCAGCTTTTCCGCGTGCGTCTTAATGTCCGGACAAAAGTTGAAAACGAATCGCTACTGTAGATCAACAGCTGGCTGTACGACAGGACTACGATTGTCAATATTAGTAGAGGGGCACTCACTTAAAAAAGTAGTACCTCTCTTTACACCCGAGTTGACGACAATAGTGCCTTAACACTGCCTAGGTAAAATATCGACTGAAAGAGACAAAGTATGACGGCGGACGTTCCACTTGGTTCTGTACCCAAACTGATTATCCTAGTCAAGCAGATTAAGCAGAAAAAGACCAGGTAAGCTATAGTTTGTTATAGGAGTCGCCAAAGAAACAGTGACGTTCGTATTGATTATCATTTTGCAACATACAGACAGAGCGAAAGATGCGCTACTTCGACTAATTAGTTTTTTTTTTTTTTTTTTTTGGCAAAATGGCTAATCTCCAAAAAATTCATAGAAAAAATCTAATCCTACGAAATTGATTTTGCCTTCAGGTATGTTTGCACTGGCTACAAGGAGGCTATAGGTTCTATAGAAGATACATATATTGAGTACAAAATTAACAGTGAACATTCCTAAAAGTGCGGAAATGCTGATATTGGAATATGATAAAAACGTTGACAGACTACTTTTTGACTACGTTGACAGACTTACTACTAACTTCAGTCAATAATAGCATTTTCTCCAAGTTGTCGTGGTTCGTATTTGTAAATCGTCTGCTTGTATGATGCAGACATGTAAGTTTTGCAGGATCCGCTTTGCACTGCTTAGAGTTAGAGTACTCTATTCAAAGTTAAGATTTCCAGTGATCAAAGTACATACAGCAGGACACGCATTCGGCTTTCATTTTTAGTCGAAAACGCCTGGCTTCTTAGGGAGGTCACGCTACGTAGCACCGTGATGCTGTCTGCGATATAATTTATATATAGAACATATTTTGGTTCACTAAAACGAATTAAAGCTTCTTCTTTTTTTTGCATGAGACGACAGATCGACCCAATCAAGCATAAAACTTATAACATGACATGTACTAGTGCGTGCGCGTAATCAAATAGTTGCATTTGTAGAATTTTCGATGCTAAGAAACTCAACACGATCTCATCATTACTGATTAAGAAACCTATTTGAATAATAGGCACACGTTTATCTTTGTGAAATGCCTATCTGTACACCTATTCAGGTACAACTTAAGCTCTAACAGTAGATCTTGTTTATTTCATCGTTCGTGCAATTCTAAGCCCGGGTTTTTTGAAAACGGTTAGCCGATCATTGTTTCTTTCCGCCAGAAACCATAGCAAATCGATAAACTTTGACGAACAAATTCAAAAGCTTGTTCGCAGGCTATGTCCTAGTCACATTCGAAGATATCATTGAGCAATTGTAGGTTTTTTTTTTTTTCTGGAGTTCTGTGCTAAATGTAGTTCTTGAATATCACATCTGTGTTGATTACCAAATCTGGTACTGGTTTCGCAAAGTTTAGCTCTTACTTGGTGGAATACCATTACTACGGTTATTCGAATACTCACATATGGCTCACAGCTGACGTCGCTTCACAATGTTAAATCTTTTTTCATTCACTGGATGTATGGAGGCATCTGTATAGAAGAATCAGTGTTCGCCTCTCCGCGCCGCCTTTATACCAAGCTGACTGAATTCGGGATGCTAAATTGAGTGAGGGATTCTACATGAATGCGGCCAACCACTAGTGAGGCAAAAGCATATCTGCTTAACACATAAAACAAAAAAACTTTTTATCGTAAACCACCTATTAGAATGTCACTATAACATATTTTTTTTCCGAGATGATACTACTCTAAATTACACTTAGTACGTATCTCTGCATGGACATGTTCGTGCACCTGAAAACGAGGAGCACGGTGAAATTTAATCAAATTCAATATATTTCAACTTCGGCTTTTGGGCCCCCTTTCTCAGATGTTCTTTTCGTAAGCATTATACAAAAACTTGCTTTTAAATAACGAGAGGCTTTCCATAGGGTTTGTTCACTTGACCATAGGGACTTGACTTGAGCTTTCAGAGGATCAGTACTAATTGGGCGACATAATTAACAGTCCAGCCCTTTTGTTAATTTATAAAATTCCTAATCGCTTTTTTGAGTTGCATCTTGAGTACCAAAAAAAAAAACGACACGGCATAGTATCGCATTAAGATCGTCTCAGAAACAGGGTATGGAGTTTAATAGCTCGGTAATATCTTACATTTCTTTAGTACTTATGTTATGCTAGACGTCCGGTATTAAACGTTGATTGTCAAATTGTGTCGTATTCAGATTAAGCGTCTGACGGAAATGGTGAAACCCGGTCAGCTTTGAGAATGGGCCAGGTCGCTTTGCCTAAATCGTGGACATGTCTTCGATTACACCCGTATACCCCGATTATATCTGGATCAGCAATCCGTATCTCGTGTAGATAAAACAACAGCAGACAGAATCATAAGATGCCCTTGTCTTGCTGTAAGTGTTGCGGTGAGATGCGGTTTCTGGGAGATGTAAAAGATGTAAATGTTCACGATAAAAGCTTCTGCAGATACTCTTTTCGAACGAGCAGATGGTTTTCGACTTGTTAACCTGTTCCATTTGGAAAACTACACAATACCGTTTTGTAGTTTTAGGGACGGTAAGAACAACCCTGCAACAGTTCAAGACAAGACGTACCAAGGAAATACACTTTTCTACTTCGCAATAAACAACGTACGCAGCCTAAAATGACATTTATAGATGGGGAAACTCTAGTTTTGCCCTCGATCGAGACATGATATTTTTTTAGCAAATTCAATGTAGCATAGATACAAAACATTGAGCCTATACAGCTGATCTGAAAAAGAACGCTTACGACATAGGCAGTCATTGCAACCATGTAGGGAAGCTTTTTGTAAGTTAAACTTCTACCTTCGGAACCTTGCTAGCAAGCAGAGCGGTTGTCACCGTTTTCAACGAACGACTGTAATATTCGAGCACGCATTCGTTATGTATATTGCATCGCACAGGACATGATATCTGTAACAAAAAAGAATTTTTTTTAAGTAAATAATACCGCCAGTCGCTGATTGCACGTACCCGAGGCACATGTACGTAGGTGACACGTGAGAATCTGAGGCAAAAATTACTGATGTATTATTAGAAAGTTATTATGATCATTAGGAAAATTACTGTGTTATACAATGAAAATAGTATTTAGTTGCGACAGGTCTTGTCCCTTGAGTCTATTGATTTTGCCGAATAGAAATTACCGATTGAGTGAGGTTTTTTTAGTTGAAGGCCCTGAGTCCCTTGTTACGTTAGCATTGCAATAGATAGTTATGTTAGAATCTGTGGAGATTAACAAGTCAAGACAAGAAAATCTCTCTCTGAGTGTATTAGACTGACACGTTATCGCTTCACCATTGCAAGGACCTGTTTTCTGGTTGTGAGCAACTAAAGCGGTTAATGAGGGTTTTGCTATTTCAGGACTGTCGTTTTAGAATATGGGCGTAAGATATTGCTCGAGATATTATTTTATATTTGAACACGGTTTAATAGCGGCACCATATAAACGCGCTTAATGCTCTTAGGGACGTAAACTGACTAAGGAAAAAAGTCGGATGTTTTTTTTGAGAGAAGGCCCACTTTGAGACATGCCTACTTCCCCTATAACAAGCTCTGTATAGTACTGTTAGAAATTCTAAATGAATAATAAATAATTAATTAATTAAATAATGTTATCTTGCGAAGATTTTCCTTCTTTTTCACTCGTTAAGTAGAGCAATGGACATGGCTTTGAACCATTTGTGAATAGCAGAGCTTACCGTAATTTGATTGTCCATTGAGTTGGTGGGCTCTGAGTTAGCCTTGAATACGTATTTATCTAACAATCAGTGAACTAAACAATATATTATCGCTGTACTTTTAAGAACGAAGTTGGATGGAGAACTTTAAACCTGCAACTTGTTCTTTTGGTACATCAAGAGTACGGACAGCCTATATACGTGTAGATTAGTCACATCTCTGGACTTCTTCGGGTGGCATTCGCAACAAATACTGAATAAACACGCTACAGAGTAAACAGTTTTACTAGTCCAGGCATTATAATAGCACAATATAACAATTAAGAAAGCGATAGGGATTACTGTGAGATACCGTATTTGTGTTAATTAATCTCAATAAGATTTCTATAGCTATACGGCTTCATTTTAGCCCAACGTATTGCTACCGATGCGGACATATCGAAATTTAGTACGATGAAGGCCATTGCTATATATGATCTATTGAGCATAATTTAATTAAAGTGCATCAATTAATAAAGTAATAAATAAATGTATACCTATAACATAGCATCACAGACTGCCTGAATGAATATACTAGCATGACTGATGGACGAGTAACTTATATATGCAAGTTCTCTCTACACTGGTTGATCAATTTATCTGAATATGATTGACTACGGAAGAATCTACGAAGAGTTGGGAAGAAGGCTAAATCCGATGTTCGAGGACCATTAAACCAACATTGTTGAGGGCCTGTGTTCCGCGGACCCATTTTCCGCAGGTATCTACAGATGAGCTCTTTTTTTTCAAGATTTGTTCAACGACTTAGCACGAAACATACCTGGGCTATTTCACGATGTCTTACCAAACACAAGTCGATGTTTCTGTAATAAATCAGATGCACTGAGGGAAGATGTATTACTATGTCGTAGCGACGTGTTCACCCATTAAGCTCACAAATGAAACGAGGGTCATTTTGAAATTCTGATCCTTTCAAACGTATTGCGTTCTCCTTTTTTCTGCTAAGGAAGACAAATAGGATCTATTCATATGGACAATTACTGCCATTGCAAAATGTTCGGCGAAAATTTTAAGTTGGCAGCGGAAAAAACCATAGTGTCTTGTGTTTGTTTCTATAGCAATGGACGATTGAGTTCCTTAATCACTAAAAACAATTTATGCGTGAAGTAAAAACGCTATAATATTGGTACTATCGATATTGCATGTGACGCGTCCTCACGATGTGAGGGTCAATTATAGCATTGTTGCAGAATTGCGTGCAAGTGCCATCGAATGTTGAATGGAACGTGACGGGAAATAGATAGATAACCTGACGCCGAAGGAATATTTCTCCTTGCTATAGCAGTTAATAAGCTACTTCAACAAGCGTATCGATAATCATACCGACCGATATCATTACTAAAAAACTAGACGTAGTTAAAGAAAAGAAGCAAATGTCCATGCCCAAATAGAGATATGGGCTCGAGTTGAAAGTCAATTGTAGCATTGCGTACAGGTGCCATCAGGTGTTCAGTTGGGCGTGATGGGACGTAAGTGGTCTGACGCCGACGAGAGAACTAGACGAGGAATAACTCTGTTCCGGTCTTGGTAACAGAAGAAGATCCACGCCACGATATGAACCAATCTGTGATGGATTCTGAATCAAGCCGTACGCGGAAACTACTGCAAGATGGTGTTGCCAGCATTTTGGTTGAAAGGAAGGTGTCTACACTCACTCACTCACTCACTCACTCACTCACGATTTCTCTCCATGCTTCATGAATGGTCGTAGACGTGCTTCGTTCAATGTAGCGACATCAGTTTCGTATTGCCTAACTGTCAAGCGCATCAAGGTCAATCGCGCACCATGAGGCGTTTCTAGCTATCAGCTACTACGATGAGAAAATCATTGTTCGTATTACATTATCGTTACTATTGACAAACTTGCGTAACTCTTTTTCTTTTTCAGTATACCCATACACGAGCTAATATATTCCTATGAATATGCATGTATAAATCGAAATAGACATTCATCATTACAGATCTGTCATTAAATATATTGAATAAGCCACAAAGAGCATCAGAGAGAAATAGCCGAAACTTTGTCTTGACGTAAATACATATTCATCGATTTCGATATTCTGCCGTTACAAAGGATCGGCGCCATTATGTCGGCTCCGAAAGCGACAAATGCATTTCGTCAGGGTGCGTGTCGGTAGCGAATCAACTTTGAGTTGGAGGCCAGGTTACTCCGCTAGCGTTTAACAACTCGGTGGACGAAAGCGACACGTCAGGCCTGGCTGAGAAAGATCTAATAGGGCTAGTCAACTGTGACAAGGTATTCCTACACGCGCAACATCATTAGCGGTCGTATTGAGATAGGAGCTGAGACAGATTTGGCTGACCCCTAATGCTATACGATCGAATATGAAGCAGCCTCTAGCTAGCAATGCACAGCCTAACGGTACATGGCAGATGAATTGAAAAAGAAAATATATCCTGAGACAGTTACAATGATTTAGACTAGCTAAATGGGTCCTTCCTTGCTCACTTGTCAGACTGGTTCCTCTCCATTGGTCTTTTTAAATGTAAGATTCCGACTTCTACATCCGGAAGCATTTCGTCATCTTCGGATAGGGCATGATGAAACATTACACAGTCTGATTTGCGTCATTTCCTACATGTCAGTGAACGAACTTCAAGTTCAATTTTAATTGATTGCATCAACTTAGACTGAAAAGAGGCAAATTCTGTCATCCTATTATGACCGTTACCCTATTTGTTATATCTGGAGCTGGCCTTCGGCGGTTCTTCTGTGTGGATAGATCTCCGAAATCACTTTTCGGCTTTGACCTTAACAATGTACCCAAAGATACGTTTTAACTACCCAAATTATGGTTGTAAAAAACCTGCTAATAGCAAGTCATTACCTAATCGAGTCCGTTTGCACCAGTGATTCAAACCAAGGGCAAAAAAATAAGAAGCGTTCTCGGACATCGGTTTCTTAATACACAATTTTATCCAAATAACGAAAAAACTCAAGGAAATTATAACCAAGCGCGTTCTTCATACGGAGACTGGCCCGCAAGTGTGAAAATTATATCTAAATTTCCACCTCGAGCACATGGAACAGATTACCGGAGGGCACCAGCTTGTTCTAAAGAAACATTACGACGATCCATTGCACAAGGGTAAAGCCATATTTCTTCTACACCGCTCCTAAAGACACGTTTGCGGCTACACCGGCCCTTTAGTCGTGTTGTCCGTTAGCAATACCTGTCACTGAACAGGATAATGAGATAATCCAGAACTAAACTGTTGCATCGTCCTTTAATAATAATGTATAATAATATATTTACGTCCAGCTCGCCTATTACTTTTCGAAGAAGCCTATTCGGTTAATAACAGAGCTATTTTCGATCGATTTCTCGCTACGGTAGCAATATTGTTACGTGTTGTAGTCGCCATATATATATATATATATATATATATATATATATACCTGAAGGGATGTTCTATAGTATTGATTGGTCATCCGTGGACAGTTAAAATCTGAATCAATGAAACAACTGTTGTTACTTCTCCATATGACAAGGATATTTGAGGAAATCGTAGTAGCAATGTAGGCTAGTGAGCTTGAGTCTAAAGTCATCGCCATACTGTAATCTGGCTATTTACTCAAAATGAATTTCATTATTCTAATAGTAAACCGCGGACATAATCATGCTTAAATTCGTTCTGTAAAAATATGAGTTTCGAAGGTGACGTACCGGCTTTAGGGGTTCTTTGGACGCCTATTTTTATAGCCAATAACTATCACTGCGGCCGAGTTGCTAAATCACTGCAGGTAGAATTTATTCATGAAACTAGATTAGGCATAGCTGTGAAAAAGCCATTTACACAATAATGAAACTTCCGGTCCGTAAGTGCATATGGTGTCGCTGCCTCAAGTTACGGCTGGCAGCAGGAAGTTGCCACACACGTTGCGGTCATAGGTTTTTATCATTGATTGCTTTGATTATATTGTTTTTGTGATAGGCATCTATTTATGTACTGCGGCAATAATAACCTTTACGATGTAAGTTGTAAGTTCGTCTTTGCGTTAGCGTTAAGACAAATCAATAGAGAAACTGTCCAGCAATTGTTACTTCAACTGTTCCAAAGGCCTTAGAATTCAAGATTTTCAAGGCCAGATAAAAACTCACCAAAATCATTAACGGATACGGATTATAAATAAAGTAATAAGTATAGTAAATTACTTATATATTGTCCTAAGTAAACATTTGGCAAAAATAACAACAAGGTGATTTAATGCTGGAGATATGATCTTTACCCTATTTATTTGGCCTTGAATCGTAGCATCAGTCTGCACATTTTACGTATATATCCACCATTTTTTATCATTGCGAGTCAGCGTTGCCCTAACGTCATGTTCGATTTTTTCGTTTTCTCTCTCGCTCCCCCTCTCTTGCGCGCGCGCGCGCGCTTTCTCTGTCCCTATACTTTTCCCTCTGCTCATAAAGACATTAACATTGCTCGGTTTAGGTTGGTGGGACCCTAGTGAAGATTCTCCCTCTGTATTTTTCCTTAATAAACCCTCCATGCACTTGTAATACACAGTTCGTTCATACTTAGTCCTCGTCTCCAACGATCACTTCAGCATCATCCTCGCTGTGCTGCTGCTGCTGCTGCTGTTGCTGTTGCTGCTGCTGTTGTTGTTGTTGTTGTTGTTGTTGTTGATGTTGTTGTTGAAGTTGTTGCTGTTTTGGCAATTCAGCTGCCTCTCGTTTTTTCTTTGAACGCTCCGCGTTGGCCGCCGCTTGAGTTACCCTGGAGTCGGCCTCTGCCGCAGCCGCGGCTGCAGCCCCGAAGAGGTGAGCGTTCATGTGCCGCGAGATCTCGTGCATTCGTGGTGTCTGATGGCGTCAACAGACGCAATCAAAGAACCGAAAAATATCATAGAAAAGTTATGAAGACACACCACTTTCTTATTGACCGATACCCTTAAATAGTATTATGCGGCGCGAAGTGTGAAACGTTTAATCGAACACAATTAAATCTATTGTAATTACCGGACTCCAAATAAAAGCATGTATCCATTGCTCTGGATTAGCTTATCATTTTCTACTATTGTAGTTCTTCTGGTACCCATTTATAGGTAATAAACAAGGTAAATATATATCACATGCATACATGTAAGTTCTAACTACCTGGAATGGACATTGGGGACAACGGAAGAGCTTTCTGCGGGCCAACCCCAAGCAAGAGAGCGCGTGTACACGAAGGTTCTGCGCGAGATCCGCCGTAAAATTGCAGTGTTCACAGGTGAGAAGTGCTCGACTTGCAGCCGTATTACTGCTTTGAGCCCTTTTATCATTACTCAAGCTGCCGGCCAAGCTGCCCTTGCTACCGACCCCTTTCAGTCGGTGTGCGGTGCCCTGGTGTCGTTCGAACTTGTCCTCGTCCTTTGTTTTGTACGGGCACATTCGACACCGAAGTACACCTTGTGATGATCGAACCTGTTAAAAATGTCACATAGTCAGATGTATATACTGTGGCAAAATTCTGAGTAAGGCGTAAGTGTCTAGGTCGGTTTCAAAAGCTGAATATAAATATATGTTTCATAAATTCGAAAATAGGTTAAAGCGGTGTTTCAACTACATGATACGGATTATTTCTAAAAAAAAAAACTGTGCTATTTAGTTAGAGAAAAAAGTTTCTCGAGCAATCAAAATGAGCCCTTTATTTATTTTGAAATCGTAGTGCTTCAGAAATCTTGCGACATGCCAAATTGCCTGGGAAAGCATTAACTCTTAGGTATTTTTAGGCGATTACCGTCGATTTGACATTCAACGCATACAACCAATGCACACATACCCATTGAAGGACCGATTCACTTTCATGCATAATTTCCTCTTTAACGCTTTCGTGTATCCGCCGAAGGTCATCGAGAGTTAGGTGGCCATCGTCGTGCCACCGACCGCCCGGAAGCTGACGAACTTCATTGGACAAACGGCGCAAAATCCATAATGATGACGTGCAGTAGAGGGGCATAGAAGAGATCAACACGAAAAATCAACAAAGCACTAGGTGAATATGACGTGTCCCTTTGACTAATAGGAGAATCAGAGATAATCGACGAGGTCGACTAGAAACGGTGAATTAAAATTAACTAGCGCCTAAATGGGAGTAGTACTGACACCTATTGGATCATGCACTATTATTACGAGAGCACTTAGATACACCGCGATACTATTAGTAAGCCGCTACATATGTGTCACGTCTTATAGGTGCATTATGTTACGCTCTACGAGGCATGCAAGAAGACGAAAAACCAAAATATCAAGAACACGTATTTGACACGTAAATGTTTATTGATTCTCAAGTATTCTTTGAAAACTTTTTGCTGATTCGATGGTCAGTACGGTGGATGATCTGTTTCGAACGAGGGGTCTGAAACGAGAGCCATGATTAGATAACTGGATCCTAGGGTAACAATCTTTGAATCCGATCGATATTTACTCAATACTAATCAAAACAGACTATATATACGGCAAACTGACACAGCTCTTTCGTACAATTCATATTATAAATGGAATTGCATAGCCAAATGACAGCGTTTACTCCTTCCATACTTGAATTCAGCCTAGCTTGCAGCTACATGACATCACAATGTTCGGACAATCGAAGCTAGCATGGTCGATGATTACATCTGAGAACAGTAGGAGCTCACAGATCAACATAGGACACAACTGCATGGAAAATTGCTATTCCTCCATAACGAATCGGGAACATGTTTATATGTGCGCCGCTGATACAAAAGAAAATATTGAGACCTTTTTTAGAATGAGATAATATTTAGGATTAGGGACACACGACGTGAACATGTAGATGCACGATTCTATTGACCAGGCTTCGTCCAAACAAGTTGGAGTTCAAGTTCTTGCTATAAAAAAAAAACCAAGTTTGTCTGGGAGTACTTTATTTCTAGCAAAGTTTCTAAAATTTCTGTGGACCAGTGTGAGAGTGACTAGTTAGCGACGCACGCGCTTTATCAGCTCGAAGTCGAGCTCAAGGTCAACCGATCGAAGTGGGAATTCGTCCGTTAGGAGTTCGGATGCGGCGATGGCGTAATCGAGCAAAATCGGTCCGAACTAGCGTTCGTCGGCACGTTGTCGTGCTGCAGTCTGTGCGGCACTTATCAATAGTCGCAGTAATAGTCGTATGTGAGACCGTCACCGTGGCACAGGCCGTGCGTTTTCGACTTGAGGAGGATCGATCTGAATACAGTGGAGGCCTTTTGCCCGATCGATTCCGAGTCTGCAGTCGTTGCCAGAGCCTGGTCGACATCCATGAGGTCCTAACACTCCAGTAGTAACCATCTTGACAATAACAGCCTTGCCGCCAACAACGATGACAGTAGCGGGCAGCTGGACCGACAGGCAGCCAAACCATCGAGTGAGCGAAGAGGCCACATTGGCTACATGACAAAGCCATCGTCATTCGAACACTGCCGACGGCGTCATCACTAGCGACTCAGCTACCGACCCACTATCCAGCCCAGCAAGCAGACTGGCAGACCAGCTGGAGTATGTAATGGTACTCCTGAGTCAACGACGTAGATATTGGAAGGGACCCAGATGCAAACACAGAAACAAACAAACAAACGTCTTTTACACGTATGCACACGCCTATGTAAGGTTAGGAAGAACTGTCGGTTGACAAAAAGGGTACCCACATATACGGAGTAGAAGAAGAAGAGTGGTTTATTGTTACGATTACCGAAATGCGTGTATGCGTCTTTTTTCATTATCGAATTGGGCATTATAATCGAACCTTTTCAGCCGCATTGTCTCCGCAGCGGATGAAATCTCTGTAGAGGGATTAAATGTACAAAAGGTAATGGTGAGTGCTAGTAACCTTCAAGCGAACGGTTGTCAGGCGCATCTATGGTAAAGTGTAAAGTAGGTGAAGTAAAAAACAGAGTTGGTATCAAGTGTTTTGTAGATATAAAAGAAAACGATTCTGAAAGTTAAACGGACAATCTTGAAACTGATAGACTAGCAGCTTCCTCGTCTCTTCCATATTCCGTAAACTGTTTCTCCGTATTCCATAAACTGTTTCCCCTCGATTAGAAATGTGGGATGACCAATATAAGAGACCCAGTGAAGTCTGTATATTCGGTATTTTCGGAACATTGAAAACCTATAGGTGTGGTATCCTTTATGGATTGTTTGTTTCAAGTACAATATAATGCGAAATAATTGAATTATTAATCGTTCGTACACGTCTGAAAGCAGAACACTGGAAAAAAGGTTTATTCCGCTTACGCTACAAGGTCGTCGTACTGAATAAACCATCGCCATTTTGACGAACCCTAATTCAAACTGCAAAACATCGGTTTAAGGGATAAAATTTCGTTCGGTATAATATCTTAGTAATATATATATATATATATATATATATATAGACGGTAAAGCAAGGATTACTTAGTAGTCGAAACGTCTCTGTTTCGGACCTGTTCGTAGATCGTGTTACCAAGAGATGCGTAAATAATTGCAATAAGGAACTGATTTTTTTTTTTATCTTCTTATAATGCTAGGGTGTTCTCTGATATTGGTCAATAAAAGTACTTGAATGGCTGTAGTAGAATAACCATTAAGTCCGCTCCTGATAATATATAATTTGCTTATTTTCGCCTAGGGATTTCTGCTTCATCCAGCCTACATGTTAATTTCAGCATCTATCTTTAAAATGTAAATAAAGCCGCCTTTAAAAATGGCGGATATTATCGAACATCCGGCTTTTTGAGTAAGTAACATTAGCAGACAGTTACAAAATATTTCGTTATAATAATAAAAAAGAACCTCTGTAAAAACTCACGAACGCTATTAAAAATAATTGTACATTACGCAAGTTTAACGCCGTGTATGAGCCAGTCGATAAGGTTTAGTTTTTTTTTTTTATTTATTTTTACAACCATTTCCAGCATTTTAATTATTCAGCTCACATGTGTACAGCTTTACCCGCAATAAAACCATCGGGGAGATGAACGACGAACGCAACAATGTAGATTTCAACTTCTTGAAATAAAGTTGCGGATGATCTATTGAAAGGAAGATGTATTGCTTTCTTTTATTCCCCATTCTGTGGTGGCCGTTGTTAGACAATTCGCCAGTGAAGAAATATAGTGAGATGGTGGCGATGCTTAACCGGATCAGCTTCAGTAGCTATGAAATTTAGTATATGATTTTGTTATCGATTATATATTCTCGCTCATTATGACTATAATTGATCTAGGGTGACTTTCAAAAAGCTGCAAAGCCATATTGGTTGTGGACCATTTAGATTCAGATTCTACTTATTTCCCGAAAAACCCTAAATCATGTTGATTCATCTCGAAAGTGGTTGGAGATTAGGGTCAGGGTGTACACATTAGCATCACCCAAACTTGACTGGGCTTGATATTTAAACCAGTCATTGTAAAAAGAGGTACTGAAATGGGATTTACTTTACACCATCGAATAATCTGCAGAGCGTCAAAAGGTTTCCTTTGATCTTTTATTCAGCTCCCATTGTTGTTTTTTTTTTTTTAGTTAGCAAATAAAAACGTTTTAGGAAACTGCTTGGGTTATCCGTGTTCATTCCGACACTAGAAATGAACCTTGTAACTCGGCCTGCCAACACATTTCCCGACAAACAGGCCAAGTTTGTTAAGTATCTCTGTTGTCTTTTGGCGCGAATCACTGAGAAGATTTTGATGCGTGATATTCAAACGAACTACAGGACATGGTTCCTGATAACCTAATCTGTGATATATTTAACGGATAGCAATATATTTATGAAGAGCCATCAAACTTCTGAACTCCGTCAAGGTGAGCGAATGGTGCTTTCACATCCCTTAAACCTAGCCTATGCACGCCATCTTGCTTTGCAAATCCATATATTTTTGTGCGTGTGTGCCATGGTTGAAAACTTTTCAACCAAATACATAAACCGTATATCCACTCTTCATCTAAACGTACGTGCAACACATAACTGAACATCGAGAGAAGACGGAGCTTCAGCAACTGAAAAGCATGTTTGGATAATGTGTTAGCGCTTATGAACGAGTACAGGGACGTGCTATCGTTCGAGTTTTTAACGCACATTGTAGGGAAATAATACATTCAGTCATTGATCGTATTTAGAGGAAAGTTCAATGTTTGATTACGACCGATCAGTTCTCGAGGGGTCCCTACGCTGTTATTGTTTGTTGATCTTCGTGGGCACCTTTAACATCTCTAAAAAAGTCTAGCATGATTAAAGGATTAAGCGAGATGTAATGTACGTATGACAATTTTCGACAGGTTCCATAACAAATATAAACGTATGACATGGCATACAATTTTATCAGCTACTCTCTCTCTCACTCGTAATTTCCTTCGCTTGTTCTTTCTGGCAACACGTATCAGTCACGTGAAAAGTACCATTTATAGACGTCGGGACATATACAAGTGAAACCTCTCGCGCGCTGGTCGTGTGTGGCGGCCGGGCTAAACGTATAGTAAGTCGCGCAGAATGCCTTCGATCCGGCTCAAATCAAACTCCCTATCCAGCAGCAGCGGCCGCCGCCGCCCTTTCCCACGATGGCGCGAGTAGGGGGTAACACGAACGACCGGACCAGTCAGGGCCGCCCTAGTCAAGCTACCCATGAAAGGCAAAGGGAAACTAACTGAGAGGACTGGTAAATGGGGACAAGGGGCAGCAGCAGAGCAGCAGAGATTAGGGGATGCTGGCGGTGGTGGTTGGACGACATTGGGGGAGCCCAAGGGGTCCAACAGGGGAATAAACTAAGGCGGGTCCGGGGAGGATGTCGCTCGATATCGGATATTTTTTCCGATCATCGACCCGCCCTATCAGAGACTATCGGGCATCGGGCCCTTGCAGCCCAGCGGCAGTCGGACTGTGGGCCGTTCGTTCATATACCAGCCAACGAACCAACCAACACTGAGCACCTCAACTACTCAGCGTCTAGCAGCAACTGGCGACCGGCCGACGTACGGCGGCAGTGACAGCAGAAACAGCAGCGATGGCAATGACGACGAACGCCGCCCTGGATGTGCGCGCGCGATTGAGAACGACCAAGTTCCCAAGTTTATGTATGGGTCGTTGTCCGCATACCCAGCCGTCCAGCCATCTCGCAGCCTACCCAGTGGGCAGTCTGCCAGGCTAAACCAGCATAGCAGTAGCAGCAATGGAGGGAAACCAGCCCCGTCCTTTCTAGTATTGCCTGCTGTTATGTAGTCGACGACGCTATACAGTGCCGCACGCGTAGCGTCGCTGACATACGTCCGCCTTTCTTCATGTAGGGATGCGTATGAGCAATGGCGAAATTATGTCGGGGTGTAAATCACTATTTTTAGATATAGATGCTATTTTATTTAACGTAATCTTATTTAATGTGTACATGTTCGCTGGCTTATGTCACGCCCTGTTAATTTTTTAAGCAGTGCTTTAACAGTGATGCTAAAAACATAGATAATGTTATCTTGTATTTCTGCAAAAGCTTTCCCAATATATCAGAATTAAAATTACCAGTATAGAATAAGAACGAAATGTGCTGGTAAGTGTAGTACTTAGATCACCAAAGAGAGGATTCTGCCAGTTGTATGAATTACTCGGTTAAGAATACTGGGCTGTACTGTATAGTCCATTACGCAATCAATGCGCTGATCACAAATAAGCTTAGGGTGCAATAAAAGTTTGAGCTCATTGATGCGGTCCTATCATTGTTTGTAACGAAGCACACGCCAGATCCGAGGGATGCGTAAACACATGTTTTTGTTAGGCTGGTTTGTTCGACCCGAGATAAAATCATTTAGTTATAAGAGTGGCTTACTTATACAAATCCATAGTAATTTTTTGCATTGAACAACTAAAAGGCCTATCTGTCATAGCCTTGAGATAGGGTACTGCTTTGCAGGGTTGTGCTTTAAGAAGATTTAAAGGAATACATAATTAATGATGAATTCTGGCCGGAAAGAATAATAGTAGATTAACAAAAACTATATAAGAGCAAACAAGTCAGGTGGAAGAAGCTGAGTTTGTTGCCTTGCCTGAGTTGTTGGCTGCATTTACTAACTTCTAAGTTAGTCCACATCCATACGAAATCTTCTTCATTAAAACTTAGAAATAGGGATTTGGAGGTACTGGCTCAGGGACTGTGGCTTTTAAGTTCCTTTAGCAGTGACTAGGACCCATTCGCGAGAATCCCCTATGAATTAACTGTCAATGAGGGATTACACAACTTCCAAATTTAGGAAGTTACAGTACGTCTTACAGAGAATATGTTATATCTTAAGCCTGATAGCCCTACATATCTCTTTAAGCTTGTGATCGCTCTTTTAGTTTCTGAATTGGCTTAATAGTCCACAGTGATATAGGACGTTTGGCTGAAATTATCCATCCAAAACACGCTCTCGAGCTGAGACAAATTATCGACGAAGGCTGAAGTACCATCCTCTATGAGAACCGGGTTCTCTTTTATCACCATCCAATCGATTGTTCGATTCACTTTTGCTTTGATATAAATTCCCTTAAAGGTGGGCATACTGAAAAGAGAT